GGCTCCTCCTTGGTGAGCAAGGCGGGCGGAGGCGCCTTCACAGGTACTCCTGGCGGGGGAGTCACCAATGGTGTTGAGGCGGCGTCTGCAGGGGGCGCATCTGCATCTGCTGTCAGCTGCCCGCTGGCTTCGGGCTGCGACTCCATGGCTGTCTGCGCTTCTTCCATGGTCCGAGTGTTTCACCAAAGTGAAAGAAATGTGAAATGCACCGAAATACACCGGCACAAGAAGATGCAAAAGCAAAACCACCACCGAAGAGGGGGCTGCTACGCTTCACCTTGAGCCTATTTCAGTTTGATACGGATGTCATTTTCCGTGCAATCTCGATTTGTCTTAGTTCCTCATCAGAGAGTTGCGTTGATAAAGGCACGGACGTGTTGCATGCACGGTGCTCCACCAAGTTTCATCTACACAGTTTCCATGATCAACTGCTGTTTTTTTTCCGATGGGCAATCAAGCAAACGTCCGGCGTGAGCTTAGGGGCCTAAAGCATTCAGAAAATCCAATCTCCAGTTGGCTCCATTGCAGCAATACACAAGGTGCAGAAGTCGCCTTCCAAGAGAGCATGCGTTTGTGAAGGCATGGTTTCTCACTGCGTAGGTTCACGGTGATTGGATACGATGAGCCACTTGCAAAACCTCTTATGGTTTGAAGCGTTCCAAGTTGGAGCATGGATTCGCTCGTTGTGTTTTCGCTGTCGCCGCTTGCAGCTTGTCAGCTGTAAGCAGCACTGTAACTGCAGCTTAACTACCAGTGCCGCCATCTGGACAAGCACGATTACGTCTCACCTCCGCCAAGTCTCCACCATGAGTACGTTCAACTGTTCCATGATTGTGTGCATGCCGCCATGGCAAGCGTCGGTGCACAACCTGCAGCAGGCAGCCGCAAGGGAGGCAGTTTGCAGGATTGGCAGGGTTTCCATGCCGGGCGCATTTTTGGAAATCTTGCCACAAAAGGCTTTATGCTTCAAGTATGCGGGAATGGCACGAAGCATTATTGCCATAGGTTTTGTCCGCAAATTCCAGAAGCTGGAGTGCCTTTAGCTTTCAACCATTTCCCGTAACAGGTGGGACGGCCGGCGATGAGCCCACCACATCGGGCCCAGTTGGTTGCAAAGGCCGTTTTCGTATGGGGTCCTTAAGCATTGGGAGAATGGCATACTGTGTTGTTCTCAGCTCGTGAATACAGAGGTTTGGAGTCTTCAGCCTGTGGCAGTCGGTGCCAAATCATGCGCGCACATTCAAGATAACAGTGTTGCAAGCCAAACCAAGTGCAGTGTTTTGACCTGCTACGGCGAGTTTGCATCCTTGATGACATTTCTAACTGCAGCTTTATTTTTATTTTCGGAATTTGCGTGGAGTTGATTGTAGCTTCGCCTTTGAGTCGTGGGCTTAGGTTTGGTTTTCGAAACGTTGGGTCCGGACTTCCGTGAACCCATGCCCTAAAACCTAAACAGCAAGCCCGAAACCTTCATTCGGGTGTAGCTGGGATCCTAGCAGGCCCGATCAGCTCGGCCGTAGCTGTGGCCGCGACGCTCCCAGTCTCGCAAAATGCCGCTCCAAGACCGGCAGCCGTTTGTTCGGGTGCGGCAGGGCTTTGCGGTGTTGGTTCTGGGATGTTTTCGGGCTAGGTTTTGGCCTTCGGCGGTTGCGAGGGTCGGCCTGCGCGGCTAGTTGAGGACTTTAAGGCTTAAGGTTTTGGACTCTTGTGGTTTCGGAGTGTTACCCAAAGAGTTCAGCTGCTGTAGGGGTCTTCATAACTGTAACAAGTTTTAGCGTACATGATGTGTTAACTCCATCCGTCTTTCCGTTTTGCATGCCTGCAGCTTCCCAGGCTGGCAGTGAACCGCTCAGTCTGGAGTAAGCTAGTGACTATGGTGGGGCTCGGCCCGAAACAAGGACTCTTTATGCCCCCAAAAGGTTGACAGGTATGTACGCAGCTATCAAGACTACGCAACGGTGACGTTCATGCGGCGGGGTTAGTCGAGAGCGGTGCCCAAGAAAGGAAAGGGTGTCAAGAGACAGAGGTTTAGGGTAAGCTCCAGGCCAGATCTTGCTGTTTCTTGGATACCTCAAAGTAGAATGAGAAGACCGCCACAAGCCGTCAACCTTTGCCGAGGTTTGAGAAGAATCGGTAGTACTAGTATCTCGAATCCCGACATATTCGCAGAGTGACACCAAATCCTATTTCAAGTGTCAAGGCTCCTGTACTGTAATGTTGCTTCTGCTTCAACCTGTCTTCCAATCCTAAAGTATTTTCTTCGTTTCGGGTGGATTGAGGTTTAGGGGCACCCGAAACCCTACACCAGCAAACCTACGACCGGCGCCATTAAACCGCAAACAACGCGTTGAATTACCAAAGCCTACCTGGCACCTTGTTGGCAAGCTTGCAGCAAAGTAAACAAACATTGTACTTCGTTTCGAGACCCTAACAAGATCATTCGTTGTGCTCCGTGAATGCATGAGAGAGGTGCGTTAAGCTTCCTCTTTTGCGGTCCCAGGTCGGCGTAGCGACGCTTCTGATCCTGGTGGCTTCCGTGGCTTTCGGTGCCGGGAGTAAACAGTTCAGGGCCTTTCAAACCCCCGGGCTCTTGGCCGGTGTTGAGGGGTGTGGGTCTAAGTTGAAACTCTGTAGAGGCAAGGTTTGGGCTAAGGCTCTAAGGGCCACTGAGCACAGGCCATGGATGGCGTTCTGAAATGTTATCCAACCCACATTTCGAGCGGCAGCACGAGAAAGCGAGACAGTCAACGATCGTGCCGTGGGCCTTGTGGGTGGGAAGACGCACAGCTCGGAATTGCGAACTGAGAAGTCCCCGAAACACCCACATGTCTGAACCCCGGCACGTCTCAATCCATGTACGTCTGACCCCTTCAAAGTCCGAGCTCTGATGCCCCGAAAGCTCCCAAGCCGGAAACCTCAACTCCCGACCAAACCCTCCCAACCCTGGAAGGTGCCTTGCATCGCGGCGACGAGACGGGCCAGGCCACACTCCTTTCCAGCGGTAGCTTTGATTCTAACGTCGATTGTGCCGGGTCTTCTTGTCCGAGTTGATGCGTTTGATGACGTTAGCTGGCATGTTGCTTTGGTTTCATCTCGAGCGACCCCAAGTTCAGCTGCAATGCTTCCAGGCACTTTCCTGGTGCATCTCCCCTCTTCCTCTTTTTTCACGCTTATCGTCATCTCCCTCCCACACGCAGTCTAGACTGTCTGGTTGTGAGCTTTGAAGCTGTAGCTGCAACCCTCCGGAACCTGCAGTCCAGGTGCTGGACTTCAGAGACGTGAGGCCGGCGGTGTAGAGCATGACCGTATGATCCGTATGCGATTGTTCGTGAGATCCTGAAACCCAAAAGCTTTTAATTATCAGCCCGGCAACTTCCGACAAAAATCCCTTAATGGAGCTCTTTTGCTGTCTGAAGCCTCCTCTCTTTTGAGCTTTCTCAGGCGCTCGAATTTGGGAGGCCGGGGCCCGGACTTGGGGGCCCCAGAGCTGGTTTACGGCTCCGTCCTCTTGGGCGCCGAAGGCCAGCTGAGGGCTTATGCTGGGCTTTTGGGATGCTTTTGGGGCTTTGGTGGCTGTAGCATTTAGGGCGAAGGCCTCTTCTATCAGTTGAAAGGTTTTGGGGTTTAGGGTTGAGGGTTACAGGGTTCAGGGGCCTAGCTGCCTAGCCTTCTGGGCTTGGGTCGTGGCCAGAGGGAAGTTTTGGGCCCCCAGCTGAAGAAGCTGTTGTCTCTACCCGAAGTGTGGTCTTGACATGGACGTGGCAGAGGTAGCCGACTGGGGCATCAATGCCATCTTAACCAAGACAGTCTTAGATAGAGATCGGAAGCCCCTACCGCGAAGAAGTCGATGGCACCCCAAAAGCATTCTCACCCGCTGCCTTGTGTCAAGGACAAGTCGATCTGGCAGGGGTGCCCAGAGTTGTGGGTGATGAGTCGTGGGTGCCTCGAGGCTTCCCAAGAAAAAGGCCCGACACCCGAAAGTCAAAACTCGCCGGAGTCAGCTTTGTGTGACTGGTCGGGCTGAGACGGGAGTGGATTCGGAGGCTCAGCGTCTGTATCCAGTTCGCTCTCCATGCAGCGAGGGATCTCGCCGAAAGTTTGAGAGGACGGTCCAAGCCTATCACATGCCATCGGAAGCCAGCAAAGCAGAAACAATCTCGAACTCCGGGCAGGATCTCGTAAGCGCCATCAGGCTACTCTGCGAGGTTACACTCATGTTGTGAGGTACCATTATCAGTAAAGGAGTCAGCTCACGTGTGTTTCTCCCAAGAACCGAGCGCCCTTGCGTTTCCTGCAGGCATGTCGCCATCGTGTCGAGGGTAACAGCTTCATTCCATGATCACACCCGTGTCGTATGATATTGACGAAGACTTGTGACAACATGCAGCTTTTCGGTTGTTCCTGCAACCGTGGCTGTTGGAATCCAGGTCGTGCAGGCCAGCCACGGCTACCAAGCCCAGACAGCCCGAGACAACGGCCTCGAGGCCTCATCGCATTAAGGGACGGTTTGGGACTTACGATTGAAGGCCCGATGCAGGGTTGAGGTCTGAACCTGTCACTGCGAATTCAGCGTGGCGCGGGCTCCCAGGGCCTGTACGTCTCGTGGACTGAGACGGTTCTTTTGAAAGCCATTGTAAGCATTGAGGCTACTAGTCTCGCAGGCTGTGACTGTGGGAAGCTTGGCTCAGACCGGACTTTTGGAGTCGGTAAGACGTCCTGTGAAGCCTGCTCAGAGGTTGTTCGATCACGTTTCTCCAGCTCTTTCTGTCTGGTGCCGTCCCTGCCTAAAGCTTGATCATGGTGCAAGACTGGTAGCGCTTGCTAAACAAGCCGAGAAAGTTTAGAGTGGCGGTTTTTAGCGGCTCATGGCAGGTCCAGGAGGGTTTTAGGGTCAGATGACGTTGGATAGTTTCAGACGTGCTGAGATGGGAGCACTGCTCCAGGTTCTAGAGGTTTCCGGCTCACAGAAAGCGAAACGGCTCTGTTCCCAGAACCCCCAAAGTTTAGCCTGCGAGTGTTTTGTGATCCCAGCTTGGCCCTTGCCCTGGCCCTCTGCCAGGGGCACCTGGGGCGCATTAGCCTCCGACCCTCGCGAGAGGCTCGGTCTCGTCCCAAGCAGAGAGTAGCGGAGTAGCGGTGAGGGTGTGGTGATGCCACTGTCCAAGACCGGCACCCAGACTGGGAATGTGTCAAAGTCCCTAAGAAAGTCCCATGATTTTGGAGCATTGAGAGTTTACTCGGTTAGGCGGTTCGGCTTCCAATTTGCGCTTGGAGTTTAGCGAGCAAGATAGAGGAGAGTTGAGCTTAGAACGGTGTGGGGTACGGGCAAGGGCAGAGAAGGCAGAAGTGTACACCCTCGGCACTCCGTCGTTTAGGAGTCTGAGGTTTGGATTCGGATTTGGGGGCACTGGCAGGCGCACTTCAACTTCAGCTTCCGAGCTGCCGGAGGCGGAGTCCGCACGCAGGTGCAAAGGCCCGTGGGTGTTGCGCCCTGCAGTGTCCCTTGTACTGCCGCCTCTTCGGAGCAGGTTCTTTTTCACCGTCTTTTTAACCTCTTCCGGAGAACGGGTGTGGGGCTCAGCCGAGCCCAGGGTGGAGGAACCCCCTCCAAAAATGTCAGCGTTCAGTGGATGTTTGTGGTCCAGGTTTCAGGATCTAACGCAGAGGGTTTCAGGCCTTGGGCCAGGCATGCCATTTCTGTGAACATGGGTCGGCTGTGACTTTGAAAAATAAAAAATCAACATATTTCAGCGGGATGCGCATCCCAAGCTTTGCCCTGAACCAGAAGCCGGACTGGCAACACGGGAGCGGGAGCTTTCAATCCCCCTGCAAGCACTTCGAGACCCGTCCTTCACCCCAAACCCTGAACCCATGCCTTGCCAGCCCCCTCCTCGAGGTCCGTGTCTCCAACTTCTCCCGGCTTTGCTGGGCCCTGGCCCCGTGAGACTGAAAGTTTACTGTAGGGGTTCAGAGAACGGAGACTCTCCATGATTTCATTTCATCTCGTGAGGGCTGCACCAGGAAGGCTTGGGGTTCGAGTTGTGAGTTCAGGACTCCTTGCTGGTGACGATCTCTGTTGCTGTGGCTCTGGTTACACTGACATTTTTGATGAATAATGTTACATTTTTGATAAATAATGTAGCAGCTCATAGTCTGATTCTATGAGAGTACGTGACTTCTTGGCCGGCTCAAAGCTTCCGCTCCCCCCTGCCCTGGAGCTTGTCGTGGTTCTGACCCGCGAAAAGTGTGGGCGCACGGTCTCTCTGTGTCTGTGTCTGTGTCTCGGTTTGTCTGCCTGCCTGCCTGCTTGGCTGTCTGCCTGGCTGCCTGTAACATGTAGTGGTATGCGACATCCCTCACTCAGGCGTGCTGCACGTCAAACCCCACCATCTAGAGCTCAACTTCCCCCAGTGCCCTGCGAACAATTAATTCGGCCTTTGTGAGGATATAGATGCGAAGTTCGAGCGCCACAGGCGTCACAGCGTCCCTCGCTCAGTCTGCCTTCCAGCACGCGGCGACAGAGCCTGGGGTTTCCGACTCGCGGGCTTCAGGTTCAGGAGTGCAAGGAGTCTTAGGACTGCTCCTCAGGTTTAAGCCGGGTGGGGCCTGACGGCGTTGGTCCTCATCCTCATCATCATTATGAGCTGAAGCAACCCTGATTGGACTCCTTGAATCCTAAGCCGTAAATGCTGCCGTTTCCGCGCTTAAATTCCGAAAGCCTGAATACTTGAGAACCTCGAAACCACAAGGGCCTCAGCCCTAACAGATCCGGAATCCCCGCTCCCACTGCCAGGGACAAGACGTCCTGCTCCTGGCACCTCCAAGAATGGAGGCGCTGACGCCCAAAGATCTCAGAGGCCGTTCTGCATTGAAAGTTTCGCGTGTTTGTGACTGTGAGGCAAGAGGCTGAAGTTTTTTGCCGCTGAGTCTGTGCTCCATTGTCGTAACGGGGAGTTTATGCGTAACGCTGGTCGCGACCTTAGCACCGAAAGAGAACTTGTGTGCCCCTTGCACCCAGCAGAGGTCTCGAGGAAAGGCGACATGCAGCGACTTTTTTCTTCGAATCTGCCGAATCTTTCTCGGCTGCAGCCCCAGCTGCGAACTTTCAGATCCTGAAGTTGCAAGACGTCCGGATCCGAGTTTTCAGTGCTTCGCAAGCAAGCCCCAAGCCTACAACCATAAACTTCACGGTTCAACCCCGGAGCTCTGGGCCCTACAAGCACGGGACCCTAGACAGAAAGATGCAATAAGGCTCTGAACCGTAAAGTTCAAAAACTGAAAACCAACGACCCAAATCCTGATCCGCAAAGCTCCAATGCTAGACCTTGAACCCAAAACTCCTGAACCCCAACCTGTCTCTGGTGCTCTCCTAGTCTCTCTCTAGCTCTTTGTCTGAGTCTCAACCCTAAGGTCAGCTTAACTGCAAGTCCACAATCCTCAACACAAAGCCGGCAGATCTTGGGGTCCTAGAGCCTCTTAGGTGTCTGTCCTCACCAAAGGCCTGGGGGCCCAGCGTAAAGGGGCATTGGGGGCTTTTAGGCTTCGCGGGCTGTACAGGTCTGTTTTCCACCAAAGGCATTTTGGAAGGGACCCATAGGGATTTTGGAACGGTCCCCGGTGTGAAAGCCCAGGAGCCCTTTCAAGAAATCGTCAGGGGATCGGGAACCCTGCCCAATGAAAGTCTTCCTGGCCTTGCATGATGTCGGCCGAAGGGCGCTCCCGACACCTGGGCTACTCCCATCACCTGTCAAAGCAGTTGTCCTCGGAATCAGGCGACAATGCTAACGATCACAACAGCACGTATCACCAACACGTGCCGTAAAAAGCACATCGGGAGGAATGATCACAAAGGACAACTAAGAAGAACAATGCTTCACATCACCTGAATTTGGTATGAATTTATCGAACCCGTTGAAGTTGCGCACTCTCCTAGACTAGATCGTCCTAAACAAGCAACTTCAGACGCGACGCACGTTGCAGCACGTTCGGGCCGGCCTCAGATACTGGGCATATCAGAGGCTCCAGGAGGACATTTTGAGAGGAAATCGCTTCGGCGCTGATTGCTACAACCATTTGGAGTATAGTATGCCTGCCCTCAGCTGAAGTCATTTCGCCATCTGCGGAGGGTTTCCTATATTAGGTGCACGGGTACTTATACTAAGGATCCCATTGTTTTTAGCGTGTTTGTTCGGATCCCTCGATTTTTGAGAATGCCATGTGATGAGCGCTTTTTTGTCTTCCTGCACAGGTGACGACCGGTCCAACGTGGACTTCTTTTTCTCGGGTCAGAACGTGGTAGACGACTTGTGCGAGGATCCGTGCAATTTCAGCAAGGGCCCGTAACATCTTTGATGTCAGTCCACGTAGCAAGTTTCCGTAGCAGTGGCACGAGATCATCAGCAGCATTTTCGGTCTCCTCCTCCACCTCTTCCTCCTCATCGTCATCATCAGCAGCGCCATCACCATCATCATCATCATCGTCATCATCATCGTCACGATCATCATCGCAGTCTTTTTCGGCAGAATTTTTCAACACAGGTTTTGTTTTTGCCTGGCAGCAGTCCTCATGCTCTTCCTCATGGTCTGATATAGTCCTCTTTGTCATTTCCTTCCTGCTGTTGCATCGTCATGCTTGCCGCCACTCGACCTAGCCTTTCCGTTGTCAAAGCCCGAGACTTGAACCCTCAACCCTGCAAGCCTGGATTTGCCCGGGACAGCCCTTCACTGGAAAGGATAGAGGAAAGGTGACCGCGGGCATGAGCATTGAGGTTGTCCGAGGCACTGGAGCTGGGGCTCCAAGGGCAACTCATCACCGTAAGGGCTACGAGAAGGCCGAGTAAAATGGCTTCCGTAAGGGTTGCTCTACGGGTTGCTAACTATAGGTTTGCTAATCTCGCTTCATTAAACGTGATATGTAATCTGCTTATATGCATTTGGCTTGCCGGAGCACCATGATATGATAGTCCAGCAGGGCCAAGCTGTTGATGATGAGGCCGAGAGATGTTCGAGACACTTTGGCCATTGCAGGCCCTTACAGCGGCTTCCGGGGGACCGCAAGGCTGAGCGGAAAGCAGCTCGAGGTGCAGGGCTTGGAAGTTCAAAAACATCGAGTACGCGCAAGACACCTGGACAAATGCTCATAAATGACACAATCTTCCAAGCTTGGGACAGGACGAAGCTCCAAGCACCCTCGTAATGGTTGAGAGTTTCATCTTCGGATTAGAGAGCCTTCAGGGTTCCTCTGTGGCTTTGCTTCGGGGGCTAGACTTTAATGTCTGAGTGTGTTTTTGTCCCGGAGGTTTTGCCGTAGCGGTTCTGAGGATGGCGAGATTTACCCGTTACCCACCCGCAAAGTCTGTGCAGATTATCCTGGCCAACGGCACTGCGCTGGAGGTGTGGCCGGGAGGGGCTTGGGGCTTGAGCTTTTTGGTCTGGGCCTTCAGTGTTCGGGGCTTAGAGTGACTCGGCATCCTGACACACGCAGCTGCTGCAATCGAGAATGCAAGGTCTACACGTGAATTGCACCGCTGGAAGCTTTCGTTGCACCCAGTCCTCACAGGTGGAGCCAGCAGACTGCAACATCATTCGGGAGGCGCGGTGCACGCGCAAGGCTTTCTGAAACCTGTATGCTTGCAGTCAAAGGTTCTGTTCAACCACCTTCAGTTTTGGCTTGTTTCTTATGTCAGACTCACGCTTACATTGCATCACATCCGCACAAGTCGAATTCTCGACCCTAAGCCCCAATCGCTCATAATCTACCGGTTTAAGGACCTGCGTGCCATTCGAGAAGAATGGCGGGACGAGAAAGCTGTGGGCAGCAGCACCTGCGCTGGGCCCCCAGCAAGCTTCAGGCGATTTGGATGGACTTGAACAAATCTTCGGGCATCAGGGCTCGTCGTCGTCATTGTAAACGCTTCGCGCCGTCCCGCCTCCAATAAGACCATGGAGAGGGCCGGGGGCAGGGCCAGCGGCAGGGGGGGAGACGGGGAGACAGATTCTGGGAGAGGAAGAGGTAATTTCTGACCGCTTCGGCCAAAGCCGAGGCGAAATGGAGGTATGCAGTGTTCGTGTTAGCAAGAGTCGACTTGGTAAGATGGTGGTGGTGCATTGGTGGTGGGGCTGATGGCAGCGGTGGTTGGTGGTGGTGGTGGCGGCGGCAGTAATGGTGGTGGTGGTGGTGGAGGTGGTGCTGATGCTGGTGGTGGTGGTGGTGGTGGTTGTGGTGGTTGCGGTGGTGTCGTCATCGTCGTCGCCGTCGCCGTGATTGTGGTTGTCGTCGTCGCGGTGTTTTCATCCACATCACCCACACGATGACATCACCATCATCATCATGATCATCATGATCATCATCATCATCATCATCAACGGCAGCAACAACACCCTCGGTATCATCATCACCACCATCATCACCACAATCATGATCAGAACACCACCATCATCATCATTATCAGCGTCATTGTTATCGTCATCGTCATCATCGTCATCATCATCGTCATCTTCAACATCATCATCACCACATGCTCGTCATCGTCACCGTCACCGTCATCACCCTCATCACGCTCATCACCTTCATCACCCTCGTCCTCATCCTCCTCGTCGTCCTCCCCATCATCATCGCCATCATCATCGCCATCATCAATCCATCACGATCGTGATCAAACTGTTCGCGAAACGATCTTGTCCGGTATGCTTGAGTTTAGAGTCCGAGTGAAACCCAGCACATGATTCCAGGCTGGGCTTTACGATGCCGAGCTGGCCTGTTCACAGGACGACGGGCTGCAGCTGGAATTTGCTGGATTATCCGGGGCATGCCCGATGTTCGTACCGAGGGCTGATAGCGGATGATGACGATGACGATGATGATCATGATGATGATGCTGATGACAATGACGATGATGTCGATGATGAGGATGATCATGATCGTGGTCACGACTTTGACGGTGAAGAATATCATGAGTGTAGTGATAATGGTGATTGTGATGATGAAGATGATAGATTTCTGATAAATGAGATGATGGCGATGCCGGTGTTGGTGGTGATGATAATGTCGAGGAGGATGACAGTAGTGATGTCGGTCATGACGGCGACGACAACGATGATGGTGATGGTGTTGGTGATGGTAATGTTGATGATGATGAAGGCAGTGGCGATGAAGACCGATACGACCAAGATTTTTATATGGTGATGTTGACAGCGACGACGATGACGATGATCGCGAATATGATGATGGTGATGGTGATGGTGATGGTGATGGTGATGATGATGATGATGAAGCCCCTGGGCCCAAGCAGAGTGCCCGCGATTTTTCTTCTTGTGTGGGGTTGCGTGTGTGTTCTTCGGGGCTCTGGGCTGCTTCGGGTTGACTTCGGCGAAGCCTCCCATGAGTGATGGCTCTGACGGCGGAGAGTCGCTACTTCACAGCGGCTCCGATGTTGACCGCACTCCTCGTGATCACGATAGGCAAGGGCCTCCTTCTCGGGAGGAAGCCAACCGACGAGCTGGACCACCTCCTCCCCCGGGAGCCATGCAGCGAGATGATGACAGGTACACACCGCCCGTGGATGCAGTCACTCCGCAGACTGCAGCACCCTCGACCGAAGCTGCTCGACCTGCACGCCCTACAACTGCCATGCCGGCTGCCAAAGCGGCTGCACCGAGCTCCTCCAGCAGCCCAGTGCTCAGCTCTGACAGCTCGCACCCTGGACAGGCCGATGACGAGCAACAATCCGAGGGAGGAATCTCCCTCACCTGGAGTGAGACCAGTTTGGTCTTGGATGGCCCGTCGCTGCAAACAGCTGTGGATCGGCTCCACACGCTGTACCGCCAAGAACTGCAAGCTCGTTGCATTCCCTCCCGTAGCCAAGCAGGCTGCCTGGCAGGATTGCATCGACGAACCAATGTATACGACTGGCAGCGATTGCAGGATGAAGCCATGCAGAGACTCACAGGTGAGAGACTCAGAGAATGGCAAACCTTCGAGTTCGAGGCCACTCACGAGCGACGACCCAGAAGGCGACCACCGCCACCAGCAGACGACAGCCGATCACGGTCTCCAAGGCCCCACGAGTAAGCCTCGAGCCATGTGCCGCCCGCGCTGCTACAGGGCTGTTGCCTTCCAGAGGCCAGCCCATCTGCACCCATTCTCTCCCTATGGTTACCCTAGGCATAGGACCCACCATAAGAACCATAAGAACCGACCCCACAGGACCTTCACGAGCAATGCTACTGCCGGGCCAGCCTATGGGACAGGCCACTGTGCTACAGGAGCCCAGCCCTGTGCTTCCAGCGGCCACATCAACCCGTTCCTTAACAACCCGCCTAGGCATAGGAAGCAAGCTCACCGATTGTCCCGACCCACAATACAAAGAAATTTGCAGCCTAACCACAAGGGCTCTCCCGGTCCCAAGTCCGGGACCAGTCTCCGCATAAGCATTGCACTTGCTGTATTTCTGGAGGCTGGAGGGGTGAGGGTTCCTCCTGTACCCGCGGCAGGAGGGGGACCCACAGCTGCTGCAGCAGCCGTGGGGAAGCATCGTGGAATAGCGCATCCCACGGCGTCGGCACCCCAGACACTGACGACTTCAGCCCCGAACATCCTTAAGACAGCCAAACGTGCTTATAGAAGAGCTCGTAATCGTGCTAACGCTTCAGCCGAACAAGGCACATGGTACAGGGGTAGATGGCATACTGCCTCTTCCCTCGGCCGCTTAACCCCACCCACTGCTCCCACTGCAACCAGGTCGCGACGAACCAAAGGACGCCGACCATCCAGTTCCACAAGGCATCTGACAGTTCTTTCTTGGAACACGAGTGGTCTAAGCAGTCCTCTTTTCCAGGAATTACTTGCCTGGTGTGAGCTCAACACCAGTTGTGATGCCATTGTGTTGCAGGAAACCCATTGGGCTGACACTAGTGATTTTCTATCGGGCCCCTGGATGGCCCTGCACACCTCTGGCAGGAACGCTGCAGATGGCCACGGCAAGTCAGCTGGCCTGCTGTTCCTACTGCGACGCAGCACTTTCCAGGACCCCCGTATACAAGAGCTTGATCCGGGTAGACTAGCCCTAGTACAGGCCACCAATAGGCACACCGGCCTCCCCCTAAGCCTCATTGGTATCTATCAACACGTGTGGAGAACTCACCTCACCACGACCCAAAATAAGGAACTTCGCCAAGCTATTTGGACGCACTTAGAGCAGACAGTGCAGCGAGTGCCAGCTCGCCATGATCTCCTTATCTGTGGCGATTTTAACTCCACACTAGGACCCGATAGCCCCATTGCAGGCCCCTCGGCCACACGTTGTGCTGATAACCATGACCAAGAGCTCACGGCCCTCATGCGACGGCAGGCCCTCACCGCTCTTAACACATGGCATTGTCGGGCTCACACCACCTATTATGCCCCTCAGGGCGCTTCGCAGATAGACTTCATCATGACACGGCAATGCAAGACCCACCATCGAGCCAAATACTCGCATCCCTTGCACTACTTTGCAGTTGGAGCCACGAGACTCACCGGTCACTACCCACTCCTGGCTCAGCTACCAATACAACCTTTTCATCGACCACCGGCCTCAACTCCCGCCATCTCAGCCCATGACTCAGCTGCACTGCAACAGGCCGTGAGAGCCAACACTCCTGCTGCCCAGGAGCTGCAAGCTCGAGTCATCAGCCGACTCGCCGAGGTGGACACAAGCCACCCACGACCATGTCAATCGCATTCTGCTGGAGGAGACCCGTCGCCTCTTCCCGCCCACCATCAGCCCGGACCAGCGTGTCAGTGCCCAACCAGGCTACCGTCTTCTCGCCAAGTCTGTGTGGAGCCTCTACCACCGACTCAAGCACCCAGGTGTCTGCACCTTTCGCAACATCTTCGCCAAGTGGCGCCTCGCGACTCAATTTGCCCAGGCTTCTCGTCGCTTGAAACAGCAGAGCAAGACTCATAAGAAGCAGTTCTATGAGTCTGAGGTTGATCTTGCCGAGGCAGCTGCAGCGAAAGGAGACCAACGAAGCCTGTACCTCATTGTTCGTAGATTGTCATCCAAGACACAACTCCGAGCTAGTCGCCCCCGAGGCCCAGAAGGCACCCTTCTCACGAAGGAAGCCGAGATGCAGTCGATCGTGCAGCACAGCAACAGCACTTTTGCCGTTCACTCAGACGACACTCCCTTACAACCTCTTGAAGCTGACTACTGCATAGACAGTGCAGCCTTCGCGGCAGAGCTTCACAAACTAGGTCTTGCCAAAGCCGTCCCCAAGCACATGGCCCCGTCGGCCACATGGAAGCTGTGTGCTGAAGCCTTGGGCGACGTCTTCAGCACGGCCCTCCGAGGCCATTTCAAGCAGGGCTCCAAAGCCCAATTTGATGCCGACTGGAAGAACTCCTATGTAGTCTGGATTCCCAAGCCCAACAAGCCTCCCATCAATGTTGCATCCTTACGCCCCATCGGGCTTACTAGCCCGGCTAGCAAAGCACTAGCAGGATGCCTCCGTGCACCACTCTTGTCCCATCTTGAACCACTGATCCAGGTCATGCCCCAGTTTGCCTATGCCAAGCACAGAGGCACGGCAGATGCCATCGCCAAGGCACACAGCCACTTTCATCAAGTGGACAGTCTCCTACAGCAAACCAAGGCCAATCGGTTTCAGCAGCAAGCTGGACTTCGCAGCCGCCAATGTGCTGGGGGCTTGAGCATTTCTTTAGACTTGTCTCGTGCCTTCGATGGCGTCACCAGATCGCACATCTACCAAGCCATGCAGGCCAATCAGGTTCCCCAAGATGTGATCACCATCGTGCAGCAACTCCACAAGGACGCACAGTATAAATTCCAGGTTGGGGACATTAAAGGGTCGACTGTCAGTACCAACGGGATAAAGCAGGGATGTGTCGTTGCCCCCTACCTTTGGAACTTCTTCACCCTTGCATTCCTCACTCTCCTTCAGCAGCAACGGAGCCTGGAATGGATTCAACGTGTGCTCTCCCTCTTTGCAGACGATGTCTGGGGAGCCTGGCTCATAACCTCTAAAACCGATTTTGAACTTGCCATTCAGGATGTGAGCTTAATCTTGGCTACGCTTGAAAGCCTGTGCATGACAGTCAACTACAGCAAAACAGCCATTCTTCTTAAAAACTCACGGGCAAGGACGCCGGCAACATCCGCCGGGCCCACACCTTCATGAAGGCAGGCCAGCTACACCTGAAGCTGCACGTTTGCGGCACTGAGCGCAGCATACCCATTAAAGACCAGCATGAGTACCTCGGCACCATCGTGACATACAACAATCGCCTGGACCGTAACATGACCCACAGGATCAAGGCATGCCAGTAACGATACCAAGGACTACGCAAATTGCTAAACGGCTCTCACCACCTAGACACCCATCATCGTATCAGACTGTTGCGAGCCTGCGTGTGCACGAGCGTGCTCTACTCGCAACACATAGTAGGGGTTACCTCTAACTCGCTTCAGAAACTTACTCCCCTACTAACCAGACACCTTAGAGCAATCTTGCGAGTTCCGGCACATTTGACTCATGTCACCAATCATGCGGTTTGGTCTCAGGCCAACTTGCCTCTACCGGGCTGGCAACTGCAGCACGCCCTGCAAGTGCATCACAAGAGGCTACTTCACAAGCAATCAGACATCACAACGACGCCTCAGGCCCTGGAGTTCCTCGATCAACAAGCAGGCCGCCTAGAAGCTGTTCTGCTGAAGGCAGCGAAAACACTGGTCTCCGAATCTTCTGCCATGCCCTTGGTGAACTGCCCCAAGTGCGACCAGGCATTCGCTACAGAGAATGCCATGAGGATTCACTGCAGTCTACAGCACAAGCACCTGCCTCAGATCCAGACTAAAATCCCCACCACATTTTGCCCAGCTACTCATTCTCAGGCGGGAATGCCAGCATGCCGCCTCTGCAACCGTCAGTTCTTCAGGTGGACCCACCTCAAGCAGCATATTGAGAGTAGTGCTTGCTCAGCCCTTGGTGGTGCCAGTAACTCACGATCACCTGTGCCAGATGCCATCCCGGCGCAGATTCGTGCTCCGCCGACTGCGCAGCTCCCGATTTGAGGGACAAAACAGTCAGCACACACCTCTTGTGCAGCGCCAAGCTTTTCTAGCTGGGTACTCCAACCTTGAGAAGTGGCTTGCCATGACAGCCGTTCGCCAGGAGCTCAAGAATCATTGTGCGATTTGTCACATGTGGATTGCTGCATCCTTTCGGCATGTCAAGCAGCGTTACAACCGTATACATGCAGCCGATCACCCTGATTTGCTTCAGCGGATCCTCAAGGTGTGTGGCTCCTTTAAATCCCACCTTAGGAGAAACAGTGCCTGTATCTGGTGTGGCAACACGGTTGGCGCTCCGCACAGGCACACGCAACAGTGCACGCCACTCATTCAACTAGTCTTCGCCCAACTCTACTGCCAGGATGTTCACGGACAGGGGCGACCATCTTCTGAACGAGGAGGCGGAGATCTTCGCCAGCTACTGGGAGTCCTCCCCACCGGAGGAGTACTACATGTCAGAACCCACCGGGCCACGCTCCCAGAAGAGGCGTCGACCAGAACAGCCGACTCGTTGGAACATGCCAACTCGCAGCCTGCCCCACCACCCGGGATTTCAAATGCAGCCTCTACCTCGCGATGCCCGCCAGCTGCCTCATCATCACATGCAAGACCAGCTCCATCTTCTCAGCCGAGTTGTCCTGAAACAGGAGGAGATCATCAGTCGGCTACGCCACGAGAAGATCTTTGTGCTCTTCATGCGGAACGAGATCAACGGCACCCTCGGCACCTTCATGAAAATCGCCAAGGACTGGCGAAACAAGAAGAACCTGGACGAGGGACAGCTCCAGTCCCCCCTCCGCACCATCTTGCTCGCCAGCATGCTCCGCGAAGTCATGAATCTTGCCCAGCAGGCCGTGGCCACCGAGGACTCCAAGGCGAAGCACATCCAGTCGGAATGGCTCACGAGCGAGGGAGCGTGGAACTATCGCTCCTGGAACCACGCCGCGAAAAGACTCCAGCTCGATCAGAATCGCACGGCCCTCCAGCACGCAGAAGCAATCCGACTCTTGACCTTCCTGGTCAAGAACCTGAAAGGAGAGGCCATCCAGAAGTTTGCCGCGACACAGCAGCTGGGCACGTTGGAACAGCAAGGAGCCCAGTTCGCCACATTCCATCTGGAAGTGTCCCTGCGCGGACAGACCGCGCAGGAAATATACGAGACCCTGGAGAAGCTGACGGGCTGCACCCTGCTGAACCTCATCGGGGTCTCAATGAAAAAAGACACTTTGCCCAGCATGCCATTGGCCAAAAAGCTGGGGGACATGGTGTACAAGAGGCGAGGACCGCCACCGAGGCACATATGATCAACCACAGCCTTCCCTAGCACAACACTACCCTTACCTCTCTGACCACACACCCAGGCACGAGCAATATCGGCGATGACGGCGCTGAACTGCCCGATTTGTTGCCGCACATTCGGCTGCAAGGAGGCAGCAACAACTGCTACCTTAATTCCTTCCTGTATGGACTGCTCGTGGCAATGCGATCCTGCCACATGCACGCTCTTGCCCATCAGGTTTTTGGGAAAACTTCAGGGACGCCTCACAAGGCAAGTCGTCTGATCGGGTTTAAGCTTCTGGGATGGCCAGCACCCCAGACTCAGCACGACGTCGCTGAGCTGATTGATTTTCTGCATCCTCGCCTGATTCCCAATGCCATTTCAGGTCACTGGGAATCGAGAGATCTTTCTGCAGAAGGTCTGACAAGACAGGCACAGGCCTCTGTGCACAAATGCATTCGCCTGCCACTTGACCCTGCTGCCCCTAATCCCGAGATACAGGAATCCATAAGGATGTGGCATCAGCAACAACAGCTTCAAGGCTTCACCATGCCACCTGCATGGCTGTTCTTGCAGCTGCCCAGGTTTCACTACGAGGCTGCTGGCCGAGCAGTGAAGCTTCAGCATGCATACATTATGCCGCACACCCTTGACATACCCGTCTTCTGTGACTTAGAATCCCTTGAGGTTAATTGGGTTCCATACACTGTCAAAGCCTACATACAACACCATGGCGACGAACCAACATCCGGCCATTACACTACAGTGGTACAGGACAGAGTGCATCATTGGCTCCTGGACGACGAGAAAACACCCAGTCTGCTTGAGATGCACCAGCTCGAACATGTCAGCACCAACATGTATGTGATTGTGCTCGTTTCAACATACATGCTATCCGCAGCCGTCGATGCCTTGCATATAGATACCGAACCTCACACACATGACGACAGATCAGAGCCACCTCCAGCCCAGAACTCTGCGGGAGGAGGACATCAACTGGTTTGCAAGCCGAGTCAATTTACTTCAGATGCAGATTCAAGGGCTGGCAGAGGGCGTGGAAGCTCTCCAACAGACCCTAAACCGGATCGAAGCCCGGGTACGGCGACTAGAGATGTCGCCCGTGCACACACCCAGGGGTACAAGCAACAAGTGCACGAAGCAGTGGACGATTCAGCTGAAGCAGGTCTCACTCGAGACCATGGATGATTGAAGTCTGATGGGCCGTGTACAGCAGACCATGCTTTCAAGCATGGCAAGGACGGCTGATAACCTTCTTTTTAATCCCTACGGTGCTCCGGCGCAACAATCTTCTAGTGTTATTCTTTTGCCGACGCCGATCATTCGGCATTAGTGCCTGCTGTCAACAGAACAGCCGACCTCCTGAAAGGAGGCTGAACGAGGCGCTCGCAGGACAGAGGACGCTTTCCTTTGCCGCGTTGGGAAGATGATGATGATGATGATGATGATGTTGGTGCACCTGAAGATAAGCGGATGTTGGCCGCAGTGTTGGCTGTGAGGGTTAACATGTGGACGATAGTTCTGAACGATGAAGATGCTTGCCGGGATGCTGATCAATGTGATGAGGGAAAATGGTGCTTTGTGTTATGATGCATGTGTTACTCGTGATACTGGTATTGGCATAAGCGTTCATGAGAGAGCATCAGCTAGGGCTTCGGTCTTTCTGCCATTGCAGCTGCTTTTGAATTTGTTGCTTACTTTGTTAAGTTACTGTAGCTGCTTAGATCGGCTTACTTTGGGTGCTTCGCTGCTGCTGTTGCTTCTGTTTCTTCCGCTGCTGCTGCTGCTGCTGCTGCTGCTGCTACTGCTGCTGGTTTGGTGGTGGTTTTCGTGGTAGCTGCTACTGCTGCTTCGGTTTGTGTTTGTGTTGAGCCGGCTGCTGCTGCGGTTGCTTTTGCAGTTGTCATTATTGTCGTTGTGGTGGTGGCTGTTGTTCTTGCTGTTGTTGTTGCCGGTAGGTAGAGCCGCCACGGTTCAGACGGCCGCGA